AAACCCCAGGAAGCCCATCTTCCTCACAGCGTCCCTTTGTGCTGTGTCTGACATAATGCTAAGCCGTACGAGCCTCCAGGCGGCCCCCGGCCACCCCCTCGGTCGGTATAGGAATCCTCACTACCCACTCACGTTCTCCCCCCTGCTCGCCACTTTTCCCAGGTGGGAGCCAAACAGGCTGTGAGCTATTTGCACACTTGAGCAAGTGGAGGGGAGACGCTGAGGGAAGATGTGCGTGAGGCCTGGGGGGCTTGAAGACAGACGCTGCCCAGTGTTCAGTCCCCCCCGCCCCCAGCCAGCCCCCAGTCGCCTCCAGCTCCACCAGATCAGAAGGGCCAAACTTACTCTGCCAGGAACACCTGAATAGTTTCTGACAGAATGATACAGAGAGCTGGCTGGAGACTGAGATCGAATATATTCTGTTTCCATAGATAAGCAGGTTGGCAACAAAATCCTGCCCTGGTTGCAAGAGTCTGTTGCCTTTCCTGACTCCTCCACACTCACCCATCTCCGGCAGGAGGCCCACCGGAAGCCGAGCCAGCAAGGGGAAGTGGGCTCCTTTGTTATCAGTTACTTTAAGTCAGGCACGGGTCAGGCCCTAGGGGGACTGTTTTGCTTCATCCTTTCAGCGACCCTTATCGATAAGGGTTATCATCTCCATTTTATAGCCGGGGAACCTGTGACCATGAGAAGTTGAATATTGTGCCCAAGGTCATAAGAGAGTGGCAGGCAGAATTTGAACCCGGGGCCAGCTGGCTCCAAGTCAGTGTATTTGCTTTGCTCTCTGTTGTACCAGCAGGGTTCTGAACTACTTCAGTAGAAATCTTCTTTTAAGAGTTCTTCAGTCCAGGGACGCCTGGGTGGCTCAGTCGGTTAAGCGACTGCCTTCGGCTCAGGTCATGGTCCTGGAGTCCCGGGATCGAGTCCCGCATCAGGCTCCCTGTTCAGCGGGGAGTCTGCTTCTCCCTCTGACTCTCCCCCTCTCATGCTCTCTGTCTCTCATTCTCTCTCGCAAATAAATAAATAAAATCTTTAAAAAAAAAAAAAAAGAGTTCTTCAGTCCACAAATCTAGTAGTAGGTTTGGGAATACTTTTGAAAGGGTCTTGGGCGAGAAGCAAGGCCAGTGCATCAACCAGGATTCTTCGGAGACGTAGAACCAGCAAGGTGGAGAGTTCTTTTAAGGCACTGTGAGGACTGGCAAGTCTGAAATCCATAAGACAGGCCAGCAGGCTGGAAACTCAGGCAGGATTTTGAAGTGACAGTCCAAAGGCAGAATCTCTTCTTTCCTAGGGAAGCTCAGTGTTGGCGCTGACATCCTTCGACTGATTAGATGAGGCCCACCCACACTGTTGAGGGCAAGGGCCTTTCTTTAAAGTCCACTGCTTGTAAACATTAATTATGTCCACAAAATATCTTCACAGCGACATTTCGATGAGCATTTGATCAAACAGCCGGCACCCTAGGCGAGCCAAGCTGACACATAAAAGCAACCATCACAGGCTTAACCACCATACACACGGTGCTTAATATGCGCTGGGCATTGCACCAAGGACTCCCATGTGCACGTGTGCTTTTCCTCACCAAAATATTTAACAAGAGCATGAACTCTGAGACTCAGAATGGTTCAAGTGACTTTCTAGGAGGAGCAGTAGAGTCCAAGTTAGAAGCCAAGTGTGTCTGATTGCTACCTTCCAGAATCTTCCGTGTCAGTCTAGATTTAACATTCTAAAAGATGCGAGACATGACCCAAAGTCACTCAGCTCGTCCGGGCTGGCTGCAGCACTCACATCTCTTGGTTCCCAGTCTAGCCAATCTCCCTGGAAGATTCTGCTCATTTGAAACACTATCTCCTGCAGGAATCCCTTTCCAGATAAATGGTGGAGGCACATTGTGCATCCCCAGGGGGTCAGCAAACCCCCAGCAAGGGAAGGATATACCGGACAGGAAACCTTGCGGAAGGGCCCAAGCTATATCATTCCCAGCTCAGTGAGCAGATGTGCTCAGAGTCGGTATCCTGAAACCACTTTATTGCTGAAACAACTTCATAATGAGACCCATTCAGGACATCAATATCCAAACCTCTTTGGACTGAATCTGAAATGGACCTGTCTAGTTACAAATCCATCTTTATGGCAGTTTGTGTTTCAGAGAGCTTAAAGGGAGTTTTAGAAGGCACTCCAGGATCTGATGCTCTCTATGCAGACAGAAATAAGACTTTCTCGGGCTGCATTTTGTAAGGCATGCTGCTTGCTGGGTCTGCATACTCTGGAACTTGCAATGTATCAGCGTGCTTTGGTTGCAAGCAACAGAAACCAAGGGTAGGCAGCTTCATTGAAATGAAAAGAAATCAAAGGAAAACAAAACAAAAGGAAAAAAAAAAAACATTCGAGTGGTATTTCTTATGGCACCAAAGTAGAATTTGGAAAACCGATACTTGAGACCATAATTAACCCGGGCAGCTCTGGGCTTCTCTGCAGCCGAAGTTCAAAAGCCTCTATAGAACTGCCTGACGTTAGCGCATGTCGGCTCTTTGGTTTCCAATCTCAGCATCTCTGTTCAGATCAGTGAGAAACTGATTTGCTCAGCTTGAGTCAAGCGTCTACCCATGAACACAGCCCTGGCCCTGTGTTCCCAGAGCTGCTCCTACATGCAGGGACCATGAGAAAGAGAATCATCTTTGAGCAGGGCAGTCCAAGAAGTGGCTACTGTAACCGTGATTATAATAGTAACAGAGGCAGACACGTGCATCCACAGACCTCTGTTGTGGATGTGTGTACACGCTTTGCCCATCCCTTTGTGGTTCAGTGCTCCTAGCCTCCCACGCTTTTCCCAATTATCTTAACATAAGTAGCTGCAAATGCAATCTTGGGCTTTTAGCATCCTGAGATGTTTGCAACAAGAATGTAAATACCAGGCAGGAAGGACTTGGGCCGTTCTGTTCACTCTGTGTCTGCAAGTGCCTAGCATGGGGCCTGGCACATAGTAGGTATGCTCAAGGATTGTTGAATGAGTAGCAACCACCCATCCATGCTGGGTGCCTCTCCTCTCCCTCCTTCCTGGTGGCTGCAGGGGCTTTGCCATCTGGTGAGTCCAAGGATATCTTCTAGACCCATGTGTCCCATCCCCGATTCCCAGAACCTATAGATAAGGTATCTAGTTTTCCTGGAGGAAAGGCAGCGAGCCCCCATTCTGCCTATGTCTAATGTAGGATTAATCGAGAAGGGAATACTTGGCCATGGGTGAGGGAATCTCGGATGTTTGGAAACTGGGAAGTCATTGTTCAGAGAGACAAAGCAGGAGAGGAATGCAGACCAAAGCAGGCTGACTCCGGCTACTCATCCTCCAACTGGCTATATATAGCTCACCCAGATTCTATCTTGGTGTCATTCTTTATGAGTCTCCCCAGAAATAGTGACATCAGGATCATATAGCATTTGGTATATAGTTAAGCCTAATTATAAAGAATGAATTACAACTGCTATTCAGAGGATTCTAAAATGACCTGGTCCATCTCAGCCACGCCCTCTCTAGGGGGCGCTGATGCAACCGCTTCACCCCTTCACCCCTTCCCCAGGGCTGGTTTCTGACACCAGTCCTTCCTCTGACCTCATCACTCATGGATACCAAACCCTGCCTTGTCCTTCTCAAACGGCTGCTCTGTTCTTGCCCCACACTGGCCTCGGCTAACACAGTTTTCCTTTGTGGTAGCATGACTCCCCTTTGCAGACCCATCCCTGCTTATGCACAAGTTCAAAGTGAAGTGACTTTAGTAATACAGCGGTAAGTCGCATTGCTATGGAAGGCTACTTCTTCCAGTATTTTGCAAAATGCCTCCCAATGCCTTGATTACCCCAAGGAAGACTGCTTTCTCTACTTCAGAGATGATAAGCAAATAGCCTTCTCTGGCACTGAGTCCCAAGAGCCAGTGGTCTGAGCAGGAAGCCAGAATGAAGTACAAAAGTCATGGCCAAAAGGGATCATTGGGAGATCAAGCCGGGGAATAAGGACCGTGTTGTGGTAGAACAGTGACCATATGTTGATACAGGTCAGCCACGTACCAAGTGTGCCAAACGGTATTTGTATTTATGTTACCTCGTTCAGCCTCTGCGACAGTTCCAGGAGGGAGATAGCATTGCCCCATTTTAGGAAGGAGGAACCTGAGGTAGTAAGAAGCTAAATTACTTGCCCGATACGGCAAGACTCACCGAGTGACGGAGCCAGGATTCAAACCCTGTCTGTGTTCGCTACAAGCCTCCTGCTCTGTGTCCCTCTCTAAGCCTTTCTCCCTTGCAGAATGATGGCCGCGGAGCTGGGCAGTGGCCGACAAATGTAGAAGGGCAGGAGCTGGGTCTCAGAGGAGTAGAGCAGAAGGGCAGCCTTAAAGGTGGGAGTGAGGAAGCACGTGGAGAATGTCCCACCCTCACGTGGGATACGAGCTCTGTTGTGTTGGGTGCTGGCGGCATGGGGCCGGTCTGGTGACTGTCAAGGCTCAGGGTCTGGGGGATTCGAGAGGTTGAGAAGTCCAAGAGATGGGACCCAGAAATGCCCAGGTTGGGGCTCATCTCATCAGCTTGCTGTCCGACGCTCCCATGTGGCCAGTGGTGCAGAAGGAGTGGATAGCCAGCCCAGTGGACCCTGCAGGCTGGACTCCAACCCCTGTGAGTCCCCGGAGACCCGCCTTCTGCGCTTGGCTCTGACAGGGACACTCACTGTGAAAGTGAGGGAGGGTCTCCCAGCCCCTCCTGTCCGGCCTGCCCTCGGTTCACTCTCCAGGGAGACTCCATTTTTTGACTCAGAGGCAGCCTTTCTTCTCTGGACTCCTGAGTGGTATTGGACAAGGTGCTTGGCCTCCCCAGGACTCAGTTTCCCCATCTTTAAACTGAGATTTTGACTTGGGCTTTCTGTCCTCCGCCCCCTGTGCCCCCTCCCTGCCCTCAGGTGGGAAAGGCCTCTGCCTGGCCTCACGGGGACCCTGTCTCTGCCTGCCCTCTCCTTTCAGGAAGTCTGTCATCCAGCTCGACCTTGCCAACACCAAGAAGGCGATGATCGTCCCTGCATTCGAGACACTGCGCTACCGGCTGTCTTTCCCCAAGTCGAAAGCGGAGTTGCTGTCAATGCTGGACATGGGGACTCTCTTCACATTCAGGTGAGGAGTCTCAGTGCCGTCCCCTGGGGGTGTGCGAGGCCTTCCTGTCCCCGGAAACCAGACACCAGAGCTATTGGCCCAGAAGTTCGCTGCTACCTTAGACCATCTTAAGGCCAGAAGAAGCACCACTGGCCCCCAACTACGTCTTTGGAATATTCTCTCTTCCCACATGCTGTGTGCTTTGCTTTGTACATGGGTGGTGGGCGTCATGTGTCCAGATGGAAGGACCACGATGTCAGGTAGGAAGTCAGCTTACTCTTTCTGTGTGGGTTCCTGATCCTATCTCCTGTCGGAATTCTCTCTTTGGTTTGCTTGCTCCTTCATTCATCTGGGAAGTGGGTCCATCCTGTTCAGCACCATGGTTGCTGTTCCCCTTTTCCTTTTTTGGGGAGTGGTCCATACTCCGTGGTCCTCAGGCCTAGGATGGGTGTCTGTAGCTTCATCAGCTAATGGCATCTAGGTGATTCCAGGGTTGGACAGGGCAGATGAGGCAGCTGACTTTCCCGTCGCCCAAGTGAGAGTTTTAAATAAGCCCCGCACTTGCCCAATGTTCCACGCCCCCCAGTCCTGTGCGAGCCTCGCAGGGGAGCTACCCCACCACCTGTCCGACATGCCCAGGGAGTGTGTACAACGGTGCAGGTGCAAATGGGTTCCGACTCCCAGGAACAGGCTGTGGCATTTAGTGCCCTTGGGGGACGTGGGGGTCCTCCCCGATCTCTTGACTGAAGAGGGAGCCTCTGCTCCCATCTGCTCCTATTTTAAAGAGAAGTCTCCACTTTGAACCATGGAAGAATGGCCAACACTGCGTTTGAGTAAAAAATCATACATTTCCAGGCAATCTGGATTTTATTGAAAAGCTTGTAATAATAACTTTGGTTTCCGTACTACCGTTAAGTGACTAGAAGTTTCTAGAAGGTTTTCTCAAACTTTATTTTGGGAAAATAACTGAGATCGGTTATTCGTTCAACAATTCAGAGATGATCCTTTTTCACATTTTAAGCAGATAAATTGAGGAGTGGAGGGTCCTGCTGGAGCCAGGACTCGAACCCCAGCCTTCTTCCTCTATCCAGAATTCTGGAAAGTGACCTGAAGTGGTTTAATAACCGCCGCCCCCCCCAAACTCGGACTTCTTTCTTCTTGGAAAGAAATAACAACTGCCATTTGTTGAATACGTAACTTGTGCCAGGCACTGTTGTCAGCTCTTATAATCCTCACAACAAATCTGTGAAGCAGATACTATCATCCCCCTTTTACAGATAAAGAAACTGAGGCTCTGAGAAGCCAAATAACTTACCCAAGGACACACCACCAGTACACAGCAGAGCCTGGATTCAGTCCCGGTCCGAGGAGCTGCAGAGCCTTTGTGTTTAACTCAGATACCATTGGACTGAGTCCTGAATGTTCTTACCAATCGTGTTAGGTGCAGGTAAAAATTGAGACTCTGAGACCAGATCTTCGTCCGAGCCTCCCACAGACGCCATAGCCTGATGGCTCCACGCCTGGCAGATTTCCAGGGCCTCTTTCCTTCCATCTCCATCCCCAAGTGATTTGAGAACACATTTCAAGGCCACGTCTGTGGGCAAGGGAGCCCGGGTTTGGCCTGCCGTTGCCAGGATTCCTGCTCTGGCCCACAGCTCACAAGCCATGAGGCCAAGTGCTAAATTACAGACCTTCCCCCCGAGAAATTGCTTTTGTCACCTTCCTTCCCCTCCAAACGATGAGCTCTCAGGTCTCCTCGCAGCTGAGATCCCCCTCCCACTGCAGCTGGAATGGGAAATCTTCCCCACCCCTACTGGTGCTCTAGGTCCTCAGAGCGGGGTCCCTGGACGAGTAGCATCAGCATCCCCTGGGAACGTAGACATGTCAGGTCTCAAGCCCCGTTCCAGATGTACTGGATCAGAAACTCTGGGGCTGGAACCCAGTGATTGGTCAAACTGTAGTCTCCTAGGTGATTCTGATCCGCAGCTCATGTCTGAGAACCACTGCTCAAAGCAGGGTGCCCCCAGATCTCTCCGGAGTGGCATCCCACGTGCCATATCCAGGAAACCTCTCTCGTCTCTGTTGTTTTGGAGGCTGCCTGGTGTTGATAATGTCAGAACAAGTGTCCCCTGGACGGACGGTGGGTTCCGGGGGGCGGAGTCAGGCGCTCGCGTGCTCTTGTGGCAGGTGAACTGTCATGTCACCGTGTTCTGTGCTGACCAGCCGCGTGGCCCCGCTTGTCCGTCTTCCGGCCGAGCTCACGGAAGCTGCCCCCCACCCAGGGGGACAGGACTGACCCAGCCGCCCTCCCCGCTCTTCCTCTTTCCTACACAGTAGGCCAAGGGTTTGTAGTCTAAGTAAGACGGCTGTGATACACTGACATCACGGAGAGTAAGAGCCCTGTGAATTGACACCATATCTAGGGCAAACGAGGGAGTAATGAGCATATCTTCACTTTAGGAAACGTTACTATGTATCAGACGCTGCCCTGGGTGCTTTATGTGAATTCACATCGCCGTCATAAATCCGTGATGTGGGCATGATTCTCTCTGTTTTACCAAGAGAAAGAAACGAATCATTATTATTATTCATTAATAATTTTACCTAGAGAAGGAAACGAAGGAACAGAGGAATTAGGTACATTTTCTACACCTGCTGAGTGACAGAATTCCAACCCAGACAGGCTGGCTCTGGAGCCATTGTTTTTAGCCGCCTTGTTAAACCGCCTCTTAGGGAAGGAGCATTATTGAGCGCCTACTGTATGCCAGCACTGTGCTAAGTGCGTTATAAACATTTCCTCATTTAAGCTCCCCAGCCATTCGACAAGATAGGTGCTCTTTTCCCCAGGGGACACAAGGCGGAAGTAAAGGCCAGTTTAAATGCTCTGCTGACCGAGGGCCTCCGCTCCTAAGCGACGGAGGCGGGTTTCGAACCCCAGTTCGGCGGCCCCGCTGTGCCGAGCTTGAGCCAGTGTGTGTGCCTGGCCGCCGGTGGTGCTGGGCCGCTCTGTGCAAGCGGCAGGTGTCGGGACCACCTGTCGAGCTAGTTCACGAATGGAAAATCAACTCCCCGGCCTGCTTCTTGGCTTGATCCTGACATCTTGCAGTATCCCTCCTTCTCCCACTCCACGCCCTCAGTGTTACTCAGCCTCTTGTGTTCCTTCGGATCGTGTGACCGTGGTTTTGGTGGCACTTGCTGAATCCGTGGAGCTGGGGATTCAGGTCCCTGCCCTCGGCCAGCCTGGCCATTGGCCAGTGCCCATTCAGCCTCACTGGGCGGTTCACGAGGGTCCCAGGGAGGTCCAGCCTCAGGGAGGGGGGGTGCGGGGTGAGGGCGCAGAGTGAGCAAGTGGCCGCGTCCCCTACGAGAAGAGCGCCACCTGCCACACTGACCGCTGGCTCTCACTCAACCCTCACGTGCTTTAGAGCCTCCCTGAGTGGAGGTGGGACCCTGGGCCGTGAGCTCCTTTCTCCCTGAAGCTCCCTAAGTTGTTGCGGTCCCACCTTTCATATTATCTTTTTCTACAATGTTCTTTTTCCCTAAGAGCAAGGTGGGATCCTTGCTTTTGGGCCAAGTCTGCTGTTTCACGAGGCTCCCAGGCTCCTGCCACCCCTTTGTAGCTTCCAGAGGCAGATTCCTGCCCCACTACCTGCCCTCTCTCGTAGGTACCCGTCAGGTTTTGAGATTACTTGTTCATTAATCTATTCAACTTAGTGCCCGATCACTGACTCTCTGCTCTGTAGAGGCCAGAGAGTGTGGGTGACGGGGACGCAGAAGAGAGATCACCCAGCATAGTGGTCCAGGATCCTGGCTTTTGAGTCAGGCTGTCTGGGTTTGAATCCCAGCTCCATCCTCATTATTTGTAACTTGATATTGAATAAGTTATAAGAATTTAAAGCTACAGGTATGATATTTACAATATACCCAGTATATACTAAGTGCTTAATAAATGTTAGCTTATTATGATTATTGTTTTATGGTTGTATTCATTTTCTATTGCTATATAACGAATTGCCACAAATTTAGAAGCTTTAAACAAGACAAATTTATTATCTCACGGTCCCCGAGGGTCAGAGATCTGGGCATGGGATGGCTGGGTTCTCACTCAGGGCCTCCCCGGGCTGAAATCAAGGTGGGGGCAAGGCTCCAGTGCCGCACTCCTCTAGGCTCCCTGACTTCCCTTCCTTGCACGTGGAGGACTATGGTCACCATTTCCCTGCTGGCTCCTTGCCACGAGGCTCCCACAGGTAGCTCACACGTGGCTCTCTTCCAAACCCAGATCTAAAAGTTCTCATGATTCGGCCAGGCCCACCCTCCCCCCACCCCCAGTAATTCCCCTTTATCTAACCCAAAGTCAACTGATTAGTAACCTTAGTTACATCTACAGGGATCCCTTTTGCCAGATGATGTGACATAATCATGGGAGAGGTACAGCCACGGGTCCTGCCTCAAGGGGGAGGACATGGTACAAGGGCTAGGTCACCGTGTTCGCTGGTCGGAATAACCAGCACAGACTGACCTACAGTTAGGTCCATGTAAACGATACAGAGCCCTCCAGGAGTTCACTTACCCTTTCATTGTGAGAGTCTCCTCGTTAATGAAGGATGTAGATAACGGACTGGATTCGTTTCCTAGGACTGCCGTAACAAAATACTACAAACTGGGTAGCTCAACACAATGGAACTTTATTCTCTCATAGTTGCAGAAGCCAGAAATCCAAAATCAAAGTGTTGGCAGGTTCATTCTTCCTCTGAAGGCTCTAGGGAAGAATCCTTCCTTGCCTCTCTCCAGCTTCTGATGGAGGCTGACCATCCTTGGCGTTCCTTGGCTCGTGGGTACATCACTTCAATCTCTCTCTCCACCTTCCCATGGCATCCTCCCAGTGTGTGTCTCAGTATCCACATTTCCTTCTTAGAAAGACACCAGTGGTTGGATTAGAGCCCACCCTAATCCACCATGACCTCATCTTGATACATCTGCAAAGACCCTCTTTCCAAATCGGTCACATCCACACATACTGGGGATTAGGACTTGTGAACCTATCTTTTGGGGGGACATGGTGCAACCCACAACAAGGACTGTATCCACGTACACCTTTTCTTCCTCTGAACCAGAAGTGTTGGGGAAGCTCAGCTTCCTTTCACCCAACGGCTTTTCTCCATGTGACCTAGGTACCACGTCTGGACAAAAGGCCACGCTCCCACAAACTTTGCCAAGTGGCGGACTGCCACCACGCCTTACCGTGTTGAGTGGGAGGCCGATTTCGAGCCGTACGTTGTCGTGAGAAGGGACTGCCCTGAGTACGACCGGAGGTTTGTGGGCTTTGGCTGGAACAAGGTGGCTCATATCATGGAATTGGATGCACAGGTGAGATGGTGAGGTGTTGTGTAGTTGGCGCCATGGGGGGAGAAAGCATCGGCTTCAGGGCTGAAAGGGGACCTTGGAGGTCAGAAAACAGAGCCCTGAGAGGGAATGAGACGTGATCAGGGACCGGAAGTGAGAACGTGGCAATGCTAATTCTCATGGCCACTGATTCCCAAACCATTCCTCCTTCTCTACACCTTTGGGTGAGAGTTGGAGTCCCAGCCAGGACCCAGGCAAGTGTGAGCGTCCGATGACAAAACATTTCACTCCCCACCCTCACCCAATTTAACGATGAGGACAAAACATCATCACTTGGCCTTTGAGCCGTATAACTGACACACAGCATTCTCCAAGTTCCATGTAAGGGACGCAAGAAGGCATGTGGCTGAGATGCAGCTCCTTATCCTACCCTGTAACTAAAAGTGATGATTTTCAGGCTGTATTTCGTTGTGAAACACTTTCAGTCATTCAACTAATATTTACTAAACACCTACTTCAAAAGAAATCAGCAGAATTCTAACAGGTTACAACAGGCGTCTGCAAGCTTTTTCTGCCAAGGACCGGATAGTAGATTTGGGGGCTCCGTGGGGCTGACAGGTCTCCTTTTCAACTACTCAACTCTGCTGTTGTAGTTCACCTATAGACAGTATCTAAACGTGGGTGTGGCTGTGTTCCAATAAAACTTTATTTATAAAAACAATGCAGGGAGCCAGACATGCTGAGTTCATCAACCCCAGCGTTAAATAAACAAAAGCAAAGCTAAGCTACTCTGGGTAAGTTAGGAGAAGGATGCCTGGGCCTCTCAGCCCCACCTTTTTTCCATTTGTGTGCTATTCTCCAAGGCTTCTCATGGAGCACAGCATAAATATTTCTCAACAGGAGCACTTCAAATTCAAAAAAAAAAAAAGGAAGGTAGGATGCTCAGTGCTGGCTGCCCTGAGAATCACCTGGAGAACTTTCCAACAGTTCCAGTGTGTTTGAGAGCGGGCCCGAGTGATTTTTTTTTTTTTTAAGATTTTATTTATTTATTTTTGAGAGCGAGAGCACGAGCGGGAGTGAAGGGCAGAGAGAGAAGCAGACTCCCTGCTGAGCAAGGAGCCCTATGCAGGACTCGATCCCAGGACCCCAGGATCATGATCTGAGCCAAAGGCAGATGCTTAACTGACTGAGCCACCCAGGAACCCAGTCCCACATGATTTTAGTAAGCATCTAGGGTTGCGAACCACTGGTGTAGTTGGAAGGTTGTAGAATAGTGTCCATATTTAACAATAGAAGCATGACCTGCTTCTATTCCTCTGATGTCCATTTTTTTAACAATACCTGGAGGTAGTACACCGCCGCTCACAGAGCGACGTGTTCAGCCTGCCCCAGCTTCTGCTTGAAGGAAAAGAAATGTCATATGTGTCCAGCAGTGTGGTGAGGTGAACTGGTTCAAATAAAGTTAATTTTTCCAGCCCTGAGATGCGGGCTTTGTATATTTTAGGCAATTTTGACAGAACTCTTGCAAATTTCTTGGTTATTTTTCTTTCTTTGCCGGTAACACAACCAGATATAACTCTACCCTTTCCGGTGATTTTCGGACATAATGAGTACATACCTGACAGGTAATGGCCACACCCAGAGGACTAGTGGGATTGGTCAGGTTCTTTGTCCTCACAGGAAAGTCCCAAACAGCTAAGCTCTGGGGGCTCTTGCATTTTCTTCTCCGGATTATTTGTATTCCTCCTCACCATCAACTGTCCTTTCTTGCTGCGTCAGTGTTCCTCCATCTGTAACAGCTACCTTTCCCCATTCTGATTTTCCCTTTCAGAGTTTCTTCTGATCTGCTCTGGGCTGGGGAACTAGATAACCAAAGCTCATCAGACATTATGTCCAAAATCAGAGAACACGGGGTCCAAGTGAAGGTGTGCTGGGTTCTCCTTGGAGTTCCGTGCCCTAAATTTGTGTCACCTATTTTGGCTATTTGGAGGCATTTTATTTTTGGTCTGAGTTCCTATCTGTATTCTGCCAAGTGGAGGCTACTGTATGGCGGTGTGACTTATAATAAGGATGAGTAGACAAGAGCTTTGTTCTTTTTTTTTTTTGCATTAGTTTTTATTTTGTTCAAGAACACCCATTAGTAATTCTTTTTTAAAATATTTTTAAAATTTAAATTCAATTAATTAACATATAATGTATTATTGGTTTCAGAGGTAGAGGCCAGGGATTCATCAGTCTTATATAACACCCAGTGTTCATTACATCACATGCTCTCCTTAATGTCCATCACCCAGTTATCCCATCCCCCCACCCCCCTTCCCTCCAGCAGCCCGCAGTTTGTTTCCTATGATTAAGTCTCTTAGGGTTTGTTCTTAATGAGCTTCCATCAAGTGGGATCTATTTTTTTTTTTTTCATTCTTTTTTTATCCCCTCTTGTGTACTAATCTGTTGAGGCTGTTAAATCTCATCAAGCCCTATGAGAAATCACAGAAACAGACATCATTTCATTGAGCAAGAGCATCTCTGATGGCTTGTGTCATTCTAGAGCAACCATATGGGCACGTGCTCACATTTACCAAGAACCTTTCACAGGCCATGAGCTCTGCCCAGCACTATGCATCCCTGATTGGTCATCTTTCAAGGTAGGTGTTACTATGTTTACTCTATAGATGAGAAAACTAAGGCATAGAGAATCCCAGTAATTTGTCCGGAGTCATGGAAACAGCCCTGCACCGTCCCTCGCCAACATGGCTCTCTTTCCATTGCCCCCCTCCTTGCTGATGTCGTTCCCCTCTTCATTCATTCACTTGGTCATTTGGTCATGCGCTTGGGCATCGGTCATACATTCCCGGGGGTCCTTGCAAGTGCTCACGCTGCTCTTGTCTTCCAGGAATATGAATTCATCGTGCTGCCCAATGCCTACATGATCCACATGCCTCATGCCCCCAGCTTCGACATCACCAAGTTCCGGTCCAACAAGCAATACCGCATCTGTCTCAAAACCCTGAAGGAGGAATTTCAGCAGGACATGTCCCGCCGCTACGGCTTTGCCGCCCTCAAGTATCTCACGGCGGAGAACAACAGCTAACACCAGGAAGCCCACCACTAGGGAGAGAGACCTGTTCTGCAGGGGGAATGCCACTTGCCGTTTGGGGTCCAGCCTTCAAACTCAAAATTGAGCAATGCTTTTTTGGTTTGTTTTTACTTGGCTCTTTGGCCCAACAAAGCCGCCCACACTACAGAGATCTGGGACAAGGATCCGGCCAGCGCCTCTCTGCCCCACAATCTGGCTCTCCCAGAATGTGGAAGAACAGCTCGTCGACACAGTCTCTTCAAGGACGGGACACAGAGGAGTCAGAGGGAGCAAAGGGGTTATCCGACCACAAAGCCGCAAAACCAAGCAGGTCTTTAGGACGTTCTCATTGCTTTTTAAGAAAGGGAAGTCAGGGTGCTGCGGGTTAGCCATCCCAGGAAATAAAAGCAAAACTGTCTCTTCATTCAGAGGAAACTTTCTTTTTTTGTCCTGCAATCTAGCTGTGTATCCAAGGTGGGAGGCAAACCAATGATCTGAACCAACCATTTGGAAAAACCCAATGAGGATATTATACCAGGTAGGACCTGGAGGTGGGGGCCGGTTGGTTCCTTATCCTCAAGGACACTCTTGTTTTGCTTTGATTTGTTTTTGTTTAGGGGGATTTTGTTTGTTTGTTTGTTTTTGGTCTGGGAATCCAAAATAGAAAACCTGATCGTTTAAGGCTCTGAAGGAGAATCCGCTGCCCCATCCAGCATGCCCCCGCCATCAGTGGCCCAGCAAGGAGTACGAGAGTCTTCAGCCAATATTTAAACATGGGCAGCCTTCTTCAGGATTATCCCTGAGGCCCCATGACCTTGACTCCCCTACTCTCCGGAATCCAGGGGCTAAGACGGAGACGGTAGAAATACGAAGACCGTCACATTTGCTATTGGCTGTGACTGGTTCATGGGGAAAGGGCTCAGAAGGGACTGTTCCGGTGCACACGGAAGGTACAGACCTCTCAGGCCTTTAGAAGAACTGCAGTAGTTCACACAAGCTTGTAGTTCACACAGATTCTGAAGATCCACGTGTCTGTCTGGAGACCATCAGGAAGAACGTGTTGGGTTCCTCTGTGTCCGTGCCGCTTCCCTGCGGCTGGGACGAGGTCACGGCCTCAGGCTCCCTCTGGGACCTGTGCAGAGGGTAGGCAAGCACCTTTACCATTACATGGATTGAGGAGGCACTGGACTTTTTACCCATTTTCTTGAGTCTTCAATATTAATGTTGTGTTTACATTGATGAGAACAAGAGTCCACGCCCTACTCTCGGCGGGGCTGTTTGTATTGAGTTGCAATGTGACCAGCGAACGCTGCATTCAATAAACGAAAGTCCGGACTGTTTCTTCCCCGCTCCCTCCCACTCCTGTAAGAAGCTGCCGAGACACACGCCAGTGTAGAGAGCAAGATCCATAAACGGCAACCTTACACTTTTCTGTTCTCCCATTTTGTTTTTCTCATCCTTTGAACCTTACCCTTCTTTCCTCCTCTTCTGAGGTTAGATCTCGCTTTACGCTCTCACCCTCAAAGCATCTTCAGAGTCTCTGTCCAGCTTTGGTCTCAGCACGGAAGCTAGACGTTCTCTATCCCAGATGCTAGCAAGCTAAATCGTGGTAATCACTAGCAAAGCGAGCCCCCAGCCCCTGTCCTGGTGGTCACGTGACACCCCACAGCGCTCTGACTTCTGAGCCCCTCCCACGTGTTATGTGCTCTACTGGAGATTTCACTTAGATGTATTTTTTAAAAAAAACTTAGGAAAACAATTCTTTGGACTAATCCTCACACAGATGCAGATAAATTTCTGTGTGTGTACATGTATGCGTGTATATATATATATACACATATATATATAGCATATATGTGGCATGTACATCACAAAATTAATACACAAATACTGTAAAAAGTAAAACCACAAAAGTATTCAGAGTATGTGTTAAAGTCCCTTTCTCCATGGGTGTGTGAGACCCGGCTCCTGCCAACGCACAGGACTTACCGTGTGCATGTCTTTCCTACTCTTGTGCTCTGAGCTTCACATCTGTATGCTGAAATTGGCCATGATGGAAGTATTTACGCCATGGCAATCAGAAAACCCCAAATCAGGGCACCCTCACCACTCCAAGAGCTGTTGTTAAACATTTACCAGCATGCCGATGCCTTTTTCTCTTCCCTGTGTACACACACACACATACACACACACACACACTCTCTCTCACTCACTCAAAAATCATCTTTTCTAGAGAAGACCATTGTTAATAGATGTAACTTTTAATCAGTCACTACCAGCTACTTGAGCCAAGTGGAAATGTACCGGTAGTACTGGTTCCTTGATGTTAAATATCAATTTTTGATCCCTTAAGCCTTTTATTTTTTACATGTTTTACAGCCCCTGAATCCTGCCCAGCCACCTTGCTTTCACTTGCCCTTCTTTGGGTAGTCTTGACCATATAACTTACCATACAGACTGGGTCACATCTGAGAGTAAGAGTAGGTGCTAAGTACTTTGAGACAACAGGTATACATTGGAGGACAATGTAGCTTCATGTACCCTGAATTTATTTTATTTTTATTTTTTTAGATTTTTAAAATTTATTTGCCAGAGAGAGAGCAAGAGCACAAGCAGGGAGAGGGAGAGAAGCAGACTCCCCACTGAGCAGGGAGCTTGGCATGGGACTCGATCCCAGAACCCTGGGATCATGACCTGAGCTGAAGGCAGACGCTTCACCAACTGAGCCACCCAGGTGCCCCTACACTGAATTTATTAAAGCCAGAAACTGACTCTCCATACCAACAGGAGAAAATCTTACTTCCCCAAAGACAGGTGCCTGACACAAAGAAGCTGGTCTCACTGAAGGTTAGAGCTCAGATGCTGGCTAATGCCCAAGTTCAACTCAGAAGCTGCCAACCCAGGGGAGGCTGAGGTCTGCGGAGCCCACGGCATGAATTCCCAGAACTTACACTGGGAGAGCATCCGCTTACTGCCAGCCCCAGTTCATGGGCAGGCGGGGCTGCCGCCCTCCGGGCAGAGGCAGGTACCATGCATGGTGATTCCTTAGTCTCAGTGCCCCAGGGCAAACCAAGCTTATAAATGGGTCACCCTGGTGTTTTCATGCTTCAATAAGCCAAGACGATCTTGGGTTTCAGCTGGGAGGAAAGAAAGGTTTCTCTCACTTAATCCCCATAGTAGTCAGTGTCTGGGAGAGCTAAGATTCATTGAGTAACCACTATGTAAAGGGCCTGTTGCATGCATTAGCTCATTGAATCCTTGCAGCAAAACTGCAAAATGAAACTTACTGTTTATAGATGAGGAAACCGAGTGAGCTCTGGGAAATTAACTTCCCAAAATTCACATCATCACTATATGGCAGACCCAGAATTTAAACCCATGCCTACTTGGATGGATCCCAAACCACATAACCTGCAATGCTGCTCCCTTCCCCGATAAGAAAGAATATAATGATAACTTTATGCCATCATTAATGTCTTTGAAGATTAGAATGCCAACTCGTTCTGAAATTAATACATAGAAGAAAAGAATGAAGCATTTGTCCTTTCTTTCCTATTTAGACTGTTTCTCAGGGTAACCAAATAATTGATGAAAGTTCTTCTTTATGAAAGAATCACAGCTAATAAAAGTAGGAAGAGTTAATGACTTAAAAAAAAAAAGAAAGAAATGTATGAAATACGGGCAGAGGATTTGAACCTATATAGGAAGAGTATTAGATTTCTAGTCTTCCTCCTTCCACACCCATCCAGTAACACCGCCCATACAGCAACCTCTCCTAGATGTTCCAAATCTTGCTATGCCCATGGACTTTCTGAAAATTCATGTGAAGTAGACCTGGCCGTCGATCATCCTAGTTAGCTGGCCGGGAACACCTCTCGGGGGCAGTCCTTGATTCCCTGAAGGCTTCTCCTGGCTTGCATGGCACAGGTAGACACTCTGTGTTTTGAGCTCCCCCTTAGACCTGAACTCAGCTGCTTGCTGCTTCCGAGTGGTCTCTTCGAATGTGCTGAGCTGATTTACAGAGCACATATTTGCTGAGTTGACTAATAGCTTCTTTGTACCCCATCATGAAAGCACAGACCCTACTTTAATTCTATTCCCTTCAAAGACTCTACTGTCCTTGAGTTAAGGCTTCATTTGTGGTTACCAGGCCTTTAGGGAGCTCTGTGTTTAGTGGAAGAAATGTGATTAAAATCCCCTCAGACACGGTTCCTGCACCCTCTTAGGGAAGACAATAAGAGCCGCCCATTCACTGAACCAAGACTTCTATGGTAGTTGGCAATTATGAGTCTTCATGGCGGCCTAATAATATAAGGAAGGTATTACTATCCCTGTTCTTTAGCTAATGGAACCAGCCCTCAGAGAAATTAAGTGAGTTGCCCAAAATCACACAGGTTGTTCATGGAGGTGCTGGGATTTGAGCCAAAATCTGGCTCACTTCAAAAACCCATGTCTTTCCACTCTGTGCTGCTATCTCCCCATAAGACACTGAAGTCAGCTTGGCTGAAGGCTTACGTGGCCACGTGGTCATGCAGTTCGTGGGGATACGTGTTTTTTTCCCCCTTTGCTTTTTCAATCCTGTTTACTTTCCAGTTTAATGCCACTAAAGATAATGAAATGTCAGTTATCTGCTACGTGCATTCTAAGAAGTTTCAGACCCATAGAATCTAACGTCAGAGATACCATGGTTTCTGTTTTCATTCATTTAACAAAACTGTTCTTAGTCAGTACCCTCCAATGTCAAGGAATGATTTGTGATATCTGGAAGATAATGGGGGCATCACAAACGTGTAGGGTTTCTGATTGTGACTATTTGACAGAGTTGGTCTTTGGTTCATTCCAACACCTTCAGATCATCTTGACAGTATTTTCTGGAATGAAAGAAGGGGGGTCAGTTTGGGGAAAGTGTTTCCAAGATTTGGAACCAGTGAGGCTGGGATGATGTCACGGAATGATTGACAGGGCTTGCCTAGAGCGAAACTGTTCAACAGATTCCTGGGTAGGTCATGCTGCTGAGATTCTAAAGGAAGAAAGTAAGGGCTGTCGTGGGGGCAGAATAATGTCATTGTGCTCCCTGTTACTTCTTTCTGCATTCCACTAACATTCATTGAGCATCCGCTCTGTGATGGGTACTGTGAACACAGCAGCAAACCAGGCACAGGCAGCTTTCATGTACAGTTACCTGGAGAGCTGAAAAGTTCATTTTATTACACTCACGTAAACAATTTTAGTTTATTTTACCTTTTTTTCAAGATTTATTTATTTATTTGAGAGACAGAGCGAGAGCATGAGCGGGAGGGGCAGAGGGAGAGAGAGAATCTCAAGCAGACTCCACGCTGAGCAGGGAGCCTGATGTGGGGCTCAATCTCTTCAACCTGAGCCAAAACCAACAGTCAGACGCTCAACCAATGGCGCCACCCAGACGCCCCTAGTTTATTTTTATGTTTAAACTTGCATACAGAAGAATTGTAAGAGTAATACAGTGAAGTTCTGTAAACCCTCCATTTAGATTCACTGATCGTTAACACTTGGCCACCTATGCTTTATATCTTTTTTTTTTTTCTGGAACCTTTAAGAGTGGATTGTAGATATCATGCCCCTTTAAGTATGAATACGTTAGCATGTGGTTTTTTTTTTTTTTTTTTTTTTTTTTTTTTCAAAAAAAAAGGACAGTCTCTTGGGGTGCCTGGGTGGCTCAGTCATTACGCGTTTGCCTTCGGCTCAGGTTATGATCCCAGGGTGCTGCATCGAGCCCTGCATCAGGCTCCCTTCTGCAGGGAGCCTGCTTCTCCCCCTCCCACTCCCTCTGCTTGTGTTCCCTCTCTCACTGTCAAATACATAAAAAATCTTAAAAAAAAAAAAAAAAGGACATTCTCATATAACCACGATGCAGTGGTGAAATTCAAGAAATTTTTGCTACAATACGATCCTCTAATACACAGTCTACCTTCAAACTTTGTCAGTTGCTCTAATAATTTCTGTGTAACAGGAACCACGGCCATCCCACCCCCAACTCCAGGGTCCAATCCAGTCTGAGACACATTGCACAGTTGCCAACAGTCTCTAATGAGGAACAATTCCTTGGTGCTTTGCACTTTATGACAATGACATTTTTGAAAAGCACAGATAGTCATTTTGCTAGTTTAGTGTTTTGAATGAGAAATAGGTGTACACACACAAGGCAATTCATAAAATAAGTATGTATGTGTGACTTTCTAAATTCATTATTATTATATAGCATATTATGTAACATAAAATCGTATGGCAGATAGTGTTAAAGAAACCAGTCCTCAGAAGGATCACCATCAATGTGGATGCGTGTGCATTGGTGGGATGGTCCA